TGAGGATATCACATATGAAAGACCCCTCTGGGTCAGTGACCATGTGGTTCTGAGCTTCGAATACATAGTAAAGTTATAAGTGGAGAGGGAAGCAGGAAGGGCAGGACAAATGAAGCCCAACTACAAGAGAGGGGACTACACAGGGACTGCACGAGGTTCAGTGGGACAGTGCACTGGCAGGGAAGTCAGTAAATGAGATGATGGAATATGTGACAACAATATGCATGGAAGCTGAGGAGTGGTTTATATCCAAAGGTAACAGAAAAAACAAGAAGGCCAGAATGAGCCCTTGGTTCACTTAAAGGTTTAGAGAGGCCAAAACCAAGTGTGCTAGAGAATTGAAGAATTATAGAAGGCAAAGGACCCAGGAGAATAAGGAGAGCAGTCATAGAGCCAGAAATGAATATGTACAGGTAAGAAGGGAGGCCCAACAACAATACGAAAATGACATAGCATCTAAAGCCAGATCTGACCCAAAGCTGTTGCACCACCACATCAGGAGGAAAACAACAGTCAAGGACCAGGTCATCAGGCTGAGGAAGGAAGGAGGGGAGATTACAAGAAACAACTGAGAAGTATGAGAGGAACTCTAACGTGAGATTCAAAGAGTGTTCACAGGGGAGACAGAAGGGACTCCAGAAGGACGGAGAGGTGGGGTACACCATCAAGTGTTGGACACAGTACATACCACCGAGGAAGAAGTGAAGAGGCTGCTAACCGAGCTAGATACTTCAAAGGCGATGAGGCCGAATAACATCTCTCCATAGGTCCTGAGAGAGGGAGCAGAGTCACTATGTGTGCCACTAACAACAATCTTCAATCCATCTATCGAAACAGGTCAACTACCTGAGGTTTGAAAGACAGCAAATATAGTCCCAGTTTTTAAAAAAGAAGGGAGATATGAAGCATTAAACTACAGACCAATTTCACTGACATGTATGCAAAGTCATGGAGAAGATTGTCAGGAGAAGAGTGGTGGAGCACCTAGAAAGGAATGAGCTTATCAGTGACAACCAACACGGTTTCAGGGATGGGAAATCCTGTGCCACAAACCTACTGGAGTTCTATGACAGGGTGACAGCAGTAAGACGAGAGAGAGAGAGGGGTGGGTAGATTGTGTTTTCTTGGATTGTAAGAAGGCTTTTGACACAGTTCCACACAAGAGATTAGGGCATAAGCTGGAGGACTAGGCAGGTATAGCAGGTACATCTAACATCTGGGAGTTGTAACAGCATACACCGTAACTGCAGTGAGTGGGCTAGCAGTCAAAGTGAAGTGACATCATCTTTGTGCAGGCTGCTCACTGAAGCTGTGACATGAGTCAGGCAGTCACCTGTCGACAGGGCTACTGCAGTTTGACAGTGTCATTCTCTCGACAGAGTTGAGTCATACAGAGGTTAGTTTAAGCATCCTCAGGCTGGTTTTCTACATATAACTGCACTCTGATGGTCAGGTGGAGTGAAACGAGTCTCAACTGCGAGTCGTAGTAGGTACGACTCGGCAGGGCATCTACAAGTGGCGAACAATAAGAGCTTTCTATACAAGGGGGGGCTCAGATGCTTGTAACTGCCTGTACTGACTAATGTCAGCTGTCAGCGGTCACAACGGGTGACAAGTAACATAAGGGAGCTACCAGTGGCCTGGGCTCAGAACATACTGTGGTCCACACACACAGCTTTGCTCAGATCACACAGGACACAAGGAAAACTGCACACACCTACTGCACATGCAGTTACATGGCTTGCACTGGCAAATGACGCTTTTTCCTGTGTATATGTCGACACTAAGCCATACATGAACATGTGAGAACACTGAGAGGAATTATGTGACACATCTCTTCCAGTCTTCTTGACAATGCTGAAACAAAATGCTCACTATGAAACTATAACACTGTCGATGTGACATCATTACCTGGAGTTTACCTGGAGAGGGTTTTGGGGGTCAAGCCCCCTTGCAGCTCGGTGTGAGACCAGGCCTCATGGTGGATCAGGGTCTGATTAACCTGGTGATGTCAGGTGTGACGTCATGAGGAATGTCATGGAGTGACATCGCGAGGTGATGTCAGGGAGCATGATGACAATAGACATATCGTGGGTGACATCAGGCAGTAGACAAGAGCATGTGGCTTGGAACAATCTGGCTTGGTAACTCACGTGGTTTGCTCCACGTGGCTGTGTCCACATGTGGCTTCATGATCCACATGCCTTTGAGTGACCTCAGGCACTCGGATACACAGCTCTGGCAAAGAATTCACACTGAATTCACAAAAAAACAGCAGAGAGTGAGTGAGAGCATAGTGGTGGAGAGTAGTGTGGCGGTGTTCAGTGGGCGAGCATGGGTGAAGCAAGGACTCTGCCGCACCCTCCTCCCCACCCACACACTCGGAAGATAGCACAGATTCTACCACATGGATGCAGAAATCACCACAAACTCGCCTCTGACTTGCTGAAATAACCATACTATTCTCAACAGCAACAGCAGAAACATGCAGGTGATGCTGAACATGTGACTGAGAAACAGTGTGGGGCACTGTGAAGACGAGTCACAGGGGACTCCACTTAGATTTCTCGAAGTTTGGCAAATTTTGGCCTGGATCCTGCTTTTACCTGTGTCTGGATGCTTCTTGTATGGGGTGATAAAGTGAAAACAACATCATCTTCCTTCCTCTCTCCGGGTAAACACACTTGCTGCAACCACCGCTTCCACCAATGTTTTCGAAATGATTACGTGTGTGTGTGTGGTAGCAGGAATGAACGATAAGGCTTCGGAGGCTTCTTCCTGTATATGGGTTCTTGGTACACAGGCAGTGTGTTTAAGTGCCCAGGCCTGGGGGGGGGCATGCCCAGGAGAGTGACAGAGTAGATCTTGTTGTTGATTCTAAGTTGAGTTTGCGCTGAGGTAAGCGTGGTGCAGTTGAACTGGGTGGGCCTATAGATGGCCGCACGAGCATGGCACGAAATATGAACTCAACTAGGCATACATCATAGGCCTACTGTGTACAAATATTAATTTATTCAGGCTTCCTATAATAAATATATTCACCACTCACTATAAGCTAAGGATGAAAATATTTTAAGGTAAATAATGTGTGTACTGTTTATACATTTTTTAAGCCTAGCTCCATTGCTCACTTAATAGTACAGTGGTCCCCCGGTTCGTGAAGTCATCGGTAACCGATAAATCCGGTATCCGAAGCGTTATATCGCAAAAAATTTGCCTCAGTTCCCGTTACAAAACCCGGTACGCGATACGATTTGTACGAGATGTGTCCACATGTGGCCTGAACTGCCCCGTGTGTACCAGTGTTTACAAGCCAGCCAGTGTGCGTGCATCTAAGGATACATCCAGTCACAGACCGGGTCGCGGGGGCGTTGACCCCGGAACTCTCTCCAGGTAAGCTCCAGGTGCTTGTTTCTGCAAAATAAGTCACTATGGGCCCCAAGAAAGCTTCTAGTGCCAACTCTTCGAGACCAAGGGTGCTAATGACTATTGAAATGAAGAAAGAGATAATTGCAAAGTATGAAAGTGGAGTGCGTGTGTCGGACCTGGCCAAGTTGTATAGTAAATCCCAATCAACCTTCTCTACTATAGTGAGCAGGAAAACGGCAATCAAGGAAGTTGCTCTTGCAAAAGGTGCAACTGTGATTTCAAAACAGCGATCGCAAGTGTTAGAAAATGTTGAGAGACTGTTACTGGTGTGGATAAATGAAAAACAGATAGCTGGAGATAGCATCTCTCAAGCGATCATTTGTGAAAAGGCTAGGCAGTTGCATGAGGATTTAATTAGAAAAGTGCCTGCAACTAGTGGTGATGTGAGTGAATTTAAGGCCAGCAAAGGTTGGTTTGAAAGATTTGAGAATTGTAGTGGCATACATAGTGTGATTAGGCATGGTGAGGCTGCCAGTTCAGACCACAAAGCAGCTGAAAAATATGTGCATGAATTCAAGGAGTACATAGAGGCTGAAGGATTGAAACCTGAACATGGAGGGGGATTCCCCTTCTAAACATTAAAAACTTCGACACTCTCCCCTCCTCCCATCCCATCAATCATCATCAGATCTTCATTAAAGGTAAGTGTCAATTATTCTATTGTGTTTATTCTATTGTTATTATTGTTATTGTAATTATTCTATTGCATTAAACTTAATATTTCATGTGGTAAAAGTTTTTTTTCATACTTTTGGGTGTCTTGCACGGATTAATTTAATTTCCATTATTTCTTATGGGGAAAATTGATTCGCTTTCCGATAATTTTGCTTTACGATGAGCTCTCAGGAACGGATTAATAACGTGAACCGGGGGTCCACTGTATATAATAGTGTAAACATGTTATCAGGCTTTTTTTATGTATTTGAGAGTGAAAAAAGGCTGTGATTCACTTCAGTAGTGATTTTTTGCTTTACAGCAGTAGGCAGGAACCTAACCTGCTGTATAAGCAGGGCTCTGCAGTAGCCTGGAACCTAACCTTCTGTATAAGCGGGGTCCTATAGTAGCCCAGAACCTAACCTGCTGTATAAGCAGGGCCCTACAGTAATCCAAAATCTAACATGCTGTACAAGCGGAGTCCTACAGTAGTCTGAAACCTGACCTGCTGTATGAGCAGGGCTCTTCCCTATAGTATTGTACTGTTGAGAGATATACCTCATGATGTAGATATGATTATGATAATTTTATTTAGCAAGAAGATAATGTTTATTAAAGTTACAATAGTCAGTTAACCATGTATATTTATTTTTAGTTTGCTTTTTGTATATTTATATAATTTTATGGGGTACAGTATTATTTCCTCTGGTGCTTCTCTAAGTCTGTATTACTCTATTTAATTCATACTATATTTGTTTTAAACTACTGTATTTTCATGTAAGCATCACAGTAAAGGAATATTAATTCCTTTTAACAGCATCTTTCTTTTTTATCATTTTGAGTATTATTTGCTAATGTTACCTAACATGACCTGATATAAAATGATCTTCTAATGCATTCTGACATTTTCCCCTCAGCTGTATGTCGAGAGCCATGTCTGAATGGTGGTCGGTGTGTTGGGCCAGACCGCTGTGCTTGTGTGTATGGCTTTACTGGCAGACGCTGTGAAGCAGGTACAAAGCCCTTTAAAAAACATGTCTTCTTATGCAAACATCAAAGTTAATTTTGCTCAGGGTAAAAGTAGAAAAGTTTACTCTTTTGGCTTTTGTATGTGTACTGATTGTTTTTCTTCTTCTGAGAAATAAATGAGTAACATCAGACATGCCTATTTCCTGTGTGGTGTTCTTCTGCAGTCCACTAGAGGGGGGGGGTCTGGGTTCTTATTACATTGTAGGATCTTGACTGCATGTGGGAGCAAAAAAGATTGTGTAAAGTATTATGTATAGTCTCTTCAGGAATTCATGAATTTACATATAGGTGTAGTGTGTTGTCTGAAGCTTTAGTTAGATAATATTCTGAAATTTTTTTTTTTTTTGCATAAAGTTGTGTTCATTTTATAACGCATACCCGCAAGCCCCTCCCAAGATGCTCAACACTTATAATCCCTTCCTTAAATTACTTGCAAAGACAATGACTCAAGAAGAAATTTCTTGCTTAATTGTTAGTAATAATTTTTTTAACACACTGGTTGTCTCGCACAGAGGTAATTTATCATAAATTATATACACTTATGGATCTAAACAAGAATCTAATGGCAGGGCAGTATCTGTTGCCACCTCCCTAGATGAGAATGGCAGGAACTATGTTGAGTTAGGTATAAGAATTAACAACTGGGTGTCTATACTGCAGACTGAATTATTTGCCATCCTAATGGTGCTAAAGTTAATTTATAACACTGAGCTTCAGTCTATGATTATACTTTGTAGGCTCTTTTCTTATACATTGACTGTAACAATATGCTCTTTAGAGAAGCCAGATATAGATACACCAAAATCCAGGAAAAAGAATTAATGTACAGTTGTTATGGAAGCCGTCACACATTGGATTGCTCCTTCATGATAAAGTTGATAAATTAGCTAAAAAAAGAGTATTCTGAAAGTAAATGTAGAATATTACTTAGTTGTGTCTGTGTCTAGCATTAGGAATAATATTACGGAAGTACTAAATAATGAAATTGAATGTTATAGGAATGCAGTTTGAAACCTGAGTAGAGCTACCACCCACTAAGATAAAATGAATGTAAATGTGCACATTTATGGAGCAACTTGCAATGTAAACTGATAGAATGATGTTGCAGTAGCCAGGCTTAGGCTTGGAAACAAGTACTTCTGGCAGTTTGGCAGACACACAGATGATGACCACATTAGGTGCCAAGTATGTGGCCAGCTCAGTGGTCACCATCTTGAATACAGTGTTCTTTATTGTCCATTTATTGAGGAATGTAGATAGACAGTATAATAACCTATGTTATATGTCAAGATATTGAAGAAAATAAGATACCAGACATATTAAGTGAATTTTCTCAATTTGCTTGCAACAGGTAAGTCAACTGTAGATATAAACCCAGATGTACTGCTATTAACCCTTTTGGAGCCTAGTTCTTAGGCCTTTTGTGTATCTATATGCTCTTGCGCTACCATCCACAGGATGGATGTGGAGATATGGGTTGCACAATAAACTAGCTGCTTCAGCAGCAAAATCTAAAAAATTAATGACATATACTGTACTGTATAATATTAACCACATGTGACTATCGTATTTTATTTTTTAAATCTGTGTTATGAAGAAGTTCTTCCGGAATTTTAGTTTTTAATCAGAAATACTTAAACTGTATCATATTCTAATATAAAAGTTTTTGTGACATATGCAGCTTATATGTACTTGCTCATTTAGCATTATGTTACTACAGCTTTCTTGTTCATTGAGGAAATGCAGTAATTTGTATGTAAATGTATTTGTGTGAGAGGAGTATTGTTGTGGAACTATATTTTTACTGCACTATATATAAATATATATATATACATAGTATCTTGTGTTGCCAGATTTCAGGACAGGTCCATGCTTCACAAAGGTTCAACATGACATGTGCCAGGGTCAGTTGCCAGGAGTTGTGTGCACAAAGCATTTATGTTGTGCCACCATCGGCAAGGCTTGGGGGCACCCCTGTGAACACTGTCCTGAGAGGCTTGATTGTAATAAAGGCTTCCTTAAAAATATTCACAGTTTACAATGTGTTGGTAAGTTGTGTGACCAGGCACAGGTTCCTGGACCAACACCTTGTCTCTTAGGGTAAAGGAGTGAAATTTAGAAGTTTTGTCATACAGTACCTCTGTTTCATGTTTTATAATAATAATAATATAATAATATACGTATAATAATACATAATATATAATATATAATAATATAATAATATAATTAATAATATAATTAGGTAGTAGGTTGGTAGACAGCAACCACCCAGGGAGGTACTACCGTCCTGCCAAGTGAGTGTAAAACAAAAGCCTGTAATTGTTTTACATGATGGTAGGATTGCTGGTGTCTTTTGTCTGTCTCATAAATATGCAAGATTACAGGTACGTCTTGCTACTTCTTACACTTAGGTCACACTACACATACATGTACACGTTTATTTATACACACTCATCTGAGTTTTCTTTGATTTTGTCTTAATAGTTCTTGGTCTTATTACTTTTCCTTTTATATCCATGGGGAAGTGGAATAAGAATCTTTCCTCCGTAAGCCATGCGTGTTGTAAAAGTCAACTAAAATGCCGGGAACAATGGGCTAGTAACCCCTTTTCCTGTAAAGATTACTAAAAAGAATAAGAAGAAGAAAATTGTCAAAGTGGGAAGTCTGAATGTGCGTGGATGTTGTGCAAATGATAAGAAAGAGTTGATTTTGGATGTTATGAATGAGAAGAAGCTGGATGTCCTGGCTTTAAGTCAAACGAAGCTGAAGGGGGTGGGAGAGTTTCAATGAAGAGGAATAAATGGGATTAGGTCAGGGGTTTCAAATAGAGTTAGAGCTAAAGAAGGAGTAGCAGTAATGTTGAAGGATAAGCTATGGCAGGAAAAGAGGGACTATAAATGTATTAATTCAAGGATTATGTGGAGTAAAATAAAGATTGGATGTGAAAAGTGGGTTATAGTAAGCGTGTATGCACCTGGAGAAGAAAGAAGTGTAGAGGAGAGAAAGAGATTTTGGGAAATGTTGAGTGAATGCGTGGGGAGCTTTGAATCAAGTGTGAGAGTAATGGTGGTTGGGGATTTCAATGCTAAAGTGGGTAAAAATGTTATGGAGGGAGTAGTAGGTAAATTTGGGGTGCCAGGGGTAAGTGTAAATGGGGAGCCTTTAATTGAGCTATGTGTAGAAAGAGATTTGGTAATAAGTAATACGTATTTTATGAAAAAGAGGATAAATAAATATACAAGGTATGATGTAGCACGTAATGAAAGTAGTTTGTTAGATTATGTATTGGTGGATAAAAGGTTGATGGGTAGGCTCCAGGATGTACATGTTTATAGAGGGGCAACTGATATATCGGATCATTATTTAGTTGTAGCTACAGTTAGAGTAAGAGGTAGATGGGAAAAGAGGAAGGTGGCAACAACAAGTAAGAGGGAGGTTAAAGTGTATAAACTAAGGGAGGAGGAAGTTCGGGGGAGATATAAGCGATTGTTGGCAGAAAGGTGGGCTAGTGCAAAGATGAGTAGTGGGGGGCTTGAAGAGGGTTGGAATAGTTTTAAAAATGCAGTATTAGAATGTGGGGCAGAAGTTTGTGGTTATAGGAGGGTGGGGGCAGGTGGAAAGAGGAGTGATTGGTGGAATGATGAAGTAAAGGGTGTGATAAAAGAGAAAAAGTTAGCTTATGAGAGGTTTTTACAAAGCAGAAGTGTTATAAGAAAAGCAGAGTATATGGAGAGTAAAAGAAAGGTGAAGAGAATGGTGAGAGAGTGCAAAAGGAGAGCAGATGATAGAGTGGGAGAGGCACTGTCAAGAAATTTTAATGAAAATAAGAAAAAATTTTGGAGTGAGTTAAACAAGTTAAGAAAGCCTAAGGAAAGTATGGATTTGTCAGTTAAAAACAGAGTAGGGGAGTTAGTAGATGGGGAGAGGGAGGTATTAGGTAGATGGCGAGAATATTTTGAGGAACTTTTAAATGTTGAGGAAGAAAGGGAGGCGGTAATTTCATGCACTGGTCAAGGGGGTATACCATCTTTTAGGAGTGAAGAAGAGCAGAATGTAAGTGTGGGGGAGGTACACGAGGCATTACGTAGAATGAAAGAGGGTAAAGCAGCTGGAACTGATGGGATCATGACAGAAATGTTAAAAGCAGGGGGGGATATAGTGTTGGAGTGGTTGGTACTTTTGTTTAATAAATATATGAAAGAGGGGAAGGTACCTAGGGATTGGCAGAGAGCATGTATAGTCCCTTTATATAAAGGGAAAGGGGACAAAAGAGATTGTAAAAATTATAGAGGAATAAGTTTATTGAGTATACCAGGAAAAGTGTACAGTAGGGTTATAATTGAAAGAATTAGAGGTAAGACAGAATGTAGGATTGCGGATGAGCAAAGAGGTTTCAGAATGGGTAGGGGATGTGTAGATCAAGTGTTTACATTGAAGCATATATGTGAACAGTATTTAGATAAAGGTAGGGAAGTTTTTATTGCATTTATGGATTTAGAAAAGGCATATGATAGAGTGGATAGGGGAGCAATGTGGCAGATGTTGCAAGTATATGGAATAGGTGGTAAGTTACTAAATGCTGTAAAGAGTTTTTATGAGGATAGTGAGGCTCAGGTTAGGGTGTGTAGAAGAGAGGGAGACTACTTTCCGGTAAAAGTAGGTCTTAGACAGGGATGTGTAATGTCACCATGGTTGTTTAATATATTTATAGATGGGGTTGTAAAAGAAGTAAATGCTAGGGTGTTCGGGAGAGGGGTGGGATTAAATTATGGGGAATCAAATTCAAAATGGGAATTGACACAGTTACCTTTTGCTGATGATACTGTGCTTATGGGAGATTCTAAAGAAAAATTGCAAAGGTTAGTGGATGAGTTTGGGAATGTGTGTAAAGGTAGAAAGTTGAAAGTGAACATAGAAAAGAGTAAGGTGATGAGGGTATCAAATGATTTAGATAAAGAAAAATTGGATATCAAATTGAGGAGGAGGAGTATGGAAGAAGTGAATGTTTTCAGATACTTGGGAGTTGATGTGTCGGCAGATGGATTTATGAAGGATGAGGATAATCATAGAATTGATGAGGGAAAAAAGGTGAGTGGTGCGTTGAGGTATATGTGGAGTCAAAAAACGTTATCTATGGAGGCAAAGAAGGGAATGTATGAAAGTATAGTAGTACCAACACTCTTATATGGGTGTGAAGCTTGGGTGGTAAATGCAGCAGCGAGGAGACGGTTGGAGGCAGTGGAGATGTCCTGTCTAAGGGCAATGTGTGGTGTAAATATTATGCAGAAAATTCGGAGTATGGAAATTAGGAAAAGGTGTGGAGTTAATAAAAGTATTAGTCAGAGGGCAGAAGAGGGGTTGTTGAGGTGGTTTGGTCATTTAGAGAGAATGGATCAAAGTAGAATGACATGGAAAGCATATAAATCTATAGGGGAAGAAAGGCGAGGTAGGGGTCGTCCTCGAAAGGGTTGGAGGGAGGGGGTAAAGGAGGTTTTGTGGGCAAGGGGCTTGGACTTCCAGCTAGTGTGCGTGAGCGTGTTAGATAGGAGTGAATGGAGACGAATGGTACTTGGGACCTGACGATCTGTTGGAGTGTGAGCAGGGTAATATTTAGTGAAGGGATTCAGGGAAACCGGTTATTTTCATATAGTCGGACTTGAGTCCTGGAAATGGGAAGTACAATGCCTGCACTTTAAAGGAGGAGTTTGGGATATTGGCAGTTTGGAGGGATATGTTGTGTATCTTTATACGTATATGCTTCTAAACTGTTGTATTCTGAGCACCTCTGCAAAAACAGTGATTATGTGTGAGTGTGGTGAAAGTGTTGAATGATGATGAAAGCATTTTCTTTTTGGGGATTTTCTTTCTTTTTTGGGTCACCCTGCCTCGGTGGGAGACTTGTTGAAAAAAAAAAAAAAATTAGGAAAAGGTGTGGAGTTAATAAAAGTATTAGTCAGAGGGCTGAAGAGGGGTTGTTGAGGTGGTTTGGTCATTTAGAGAGAATGGATCAAAGTAGAATGACATGGAGAGCATTTAAATCTGGAGGGGAAGGAAGGCGGGGTAGGGGTCGTCCTCGAAAAGGTTGGAAGGAAGGGGTAAGGGAGGTTTTGTGGGCGAGGGGCTTGGACTTCCAGCAGGCGTGCATGAGCGTGTTTGAGAGGAGTGAATGGAGATGAATGGTATTTGGGACCTGACGATCTGTTGGAGTGTGAGCAGGGTAATATTTAGTGAAGGGATTCAGGGAAACCGGTTATTTTTATGTAGCCGGACTTGAGTCCTGGAAATGGGAAGTACAATGCCTGCACTCTAAAGGAGGGGTTTGGGATATTGACAGTTTGGAGGGATATGTTGTGTATCTTTATACGTATATGCTTCTAAACTGTTGTGTTCTGAGCACCTCTGCAAAAACAGTGATTATGTGTGAGTGAGGTGAAAGAGTTGAATGATGATGAAAGTATTTTCTTTTTGGGGATTTTCTTTCTTTTTGGGTCACCGTGCCTCAGTGGGAGACGGCCGACTTGTTAAAAAAAAAAAAAATCTTTTTTTCTACAAGTACGTGTACATAGTATATAGGCCTAGCTGATATCTGTGACATACTACTTTATAGAAAGCCGTTTGGTATGCAGAGCATTTCAGGCAAATTAGGTCAGTTTTGTCCCAGGATGTGACCCACACCAGTGGACTAACACCCAGCTACCCATTTTATACTGATGGGTGAAATAGACAACCGGTGTATGGAAGCATGCCCAATGCTTCGACCCTCGCCAGGAATCAAACCTGGACCCTCACCGTGTGAAGTGAGAGCTTTTGCCACCAGACCACAGTGGTTTATGGGTTAGTCTTAGCCAGCTGATGTGCCATGTGCAGTCTTGATGTAGAATCATAGGTTTTTCTGCTTTCTTCATGAATATACACAGTGCTTAGTGACTTATCTGCACATAAATTTATATGTCTCATTCCAAAATTGTAGTGGTATTTCTTTTAAGAAGTTATATTCTGTTTCATTTTAAGATCTACATTTGGACAGTTTAAGGGTTAAGTAAAAGGACACAAATGCAACTAATGTGACATTTTATTGTGGCAACATTTTGCAGTCCAGGAGCTTTGTCAAGCTGTAACAGCTTGACAAAGCTCCTGGAGAGTGAAATGTTGCCATAATAAAATGTCACATTAGTTGCACTTGTCTTTTTTACTTAACAGTTTTTTTTTTTTTTAACAAATCGGCCATCTCCCGCCGAAGCACGATGACCCAAAAAGAAAGAAAATCCCCAGAAAGAAAATACTTTCATCATCATTCAACACTTTCACCTCACTCACACATAATCACTGTTTTTGCAGAGGTGCTCAGAATACAGCAGCTTAGAAGCAAATGTGTGTTAAGATACACAGTATATCCCTCCAAACTGCCAATATCCCAGACCCCTCCTTTAGAGTGCAGGCATTGTACTTCCCATTTCCAGGACTCAAGTCCGGTTATATAAAATAACCGGTTTCCCTGAATCCCTTCACTAAATATTACCCTGTTTACACTCTTACAGCTTGTCAGGTCCCAAATACCATTTGTCTCCATTCACTCCTATCTGACATGCTCACGCACGCTTGCTGGAAGTCCAAGCCCCTTACCCACAACACTTCCTTTACCCCGTCCCTCCAACCTTTTCGAGGACGACCCCTACCCCGCTTTCCTTCCCCTACAGATTTATACGCTCTCCATGTCATTCTACTTGATCCTTTTCTCTCAAAAAGGGCCCAAAATCCCCCTCAACAAACCCTCTTCAGCCCCTGACTAATACTTTTTTTTAAACCCCACATCCTAATTTCCACACCGAATTTTCTGAAATACAGTGGCCCCCGGGTTTACGATATTATTTCATTCCAAAGTATTTTCGGGTGCCAGTACTGACTAAATTTTGTTCCATAAGGAATTTTTTAAAATTAGATTAGTCCATTTAGACCCCCAAACAACAAACAAATGCACTTACATAAATACCTTAATAACTGGCGCATGGGAGCTGATCTAAACGGGGGGGTCCACTGTTTTTTGCACCACACATCCCCCCTTAGACAGGCATCTCCCTGCCTCCAACTCCCCTTTGCTGCAGCATTTACAACCAAAGCTTCACACCCATAAAAAGTTTTGGGTACTACATATTAACATATTGTCGGAAAATTCTACCAAGTTAATACATTTTAGAATGATTTTAAACTTTTGCTGATTTGCAGGTGTGCCTAAGTTAACACGGGATATTGTATTTTTATTTCAGACTTTGAGATGTGAAGCTACCCCTGGGTGTGTGAAGGAGTTTTTGTAAAACAGTGTTGGGTCTTTCCATGTGAAGTCCTGAAGGCCGACCAGGAATCCAGAGACAAATCCCTGTAAAACCCGAATGAACGGGGATGCTAAATATATGTCTTAATGGAAAACTGAAATTTTAACACGAGGTAGCTTCTATTGTCCCTGTAAAACGGGTTTTTTCATTCCAGCCAGGATCGTTTCAAGGTGTATAGGAAAAAAATTTTTTAGATTTTTGTTATTTCCCAAATTTTTTTTTCACAATTTATATTTTTTCCAAATGTTTCCCTTTTTCTCCCAACATTTCCCTTTGGGAGATAAAAAAAAAAAGGGCTTTGGCAGACTTTATGATCACCAGGATCCTCAATTCTGTTTTTTTATATTCTTATTCCGGAAAAAAATTTATTGAAAACAATATTAAACTGCATTTAAATGGCCATTCTGCATTAAAAAAAAAGAAAAATGGTTTTATTTTTTATAGATCCCCAAAGGGCACCTGTTACACAGAGTTGTAAGCAGGGGGGCTTTGCAGGAAACCCTTTTCCCTATTCCCTCTCACCAGCAAGCTTGCTGCGTAGCAAGAAATGGGAAAAGCAGGGGGAGAAGGACCCTTGCTGTGAACCAGCCCACTCCTAGTAAAGGGGTAAGTTTTATTAGTCAAAATACGGGGGGGGGGTATTTTAGTTTCAAATTTAAAGTTTTTTATTTAAAAAAAGTTAAAAAGTCTAACTAAATTTTGACAGGTATATGATTTAAAAAAATAATACAGTACTGGAATTTAGGGGTACTAATTGTATAAGCCCTTTTTTTGATTTTTTGCCAAGCTTTAAAAAGGGGTTGTGTTAAAACCAGCAAAAGAATCCCCCAGTAGAGAATCACACTAAACCCAAACTTGTGTGGAAAAGGCGGTCGTGTGTTGACACCCCGATGCATTGTATGTCGTGTATAAAAGGTTACCAAATGTTGTCAGTGACAAATGGAAGGATGTAAATTTTCTTTTTCTCCGTCTGCTTATTAATCTGAAAATAGGATGACTTGGGGGAAGTATAAACTTTAGTGGAGGGGGGGAAGGTGGGGCTTTATCAAAAAAGGGTTGGAGGGGGGGGTAAAGGGGTTTTGTATTAAGGGGCTTGGACACCCAACAGCATGAAAAACTATTAGTAGTGGGTGTGGAGGAAAGTGGTTTTATACTTGACATGCTGTTAGTGTGAGCAAATAACATTGTTGGAAGATTCAAGGGAAATGGTACTGGGGTTAAAACCCAAAGGTGGGGGTCAGTCTGAAGGGGGAAAGGGGGGGATTGCAGTTTGGGGGGGGCATAAATTAAATTGCAAAGTTAGCATGCACTTGGATGAAAGTAAAAACTAAATGCAGGTTACCTACTTTTGTTTATTTTGGGGTCAGAGATAGTTTGGTTTGTTCTTAACAGATAGATAAGGGCCTGCAGTACAAGATGAATAGCCAAAAAAAGTTATTTTATGATGGCACAAAACACAATTTTATGACAGAGTGTATGGGATAGGGTGTCATGATGCACCAATAAATTTGGTTATTTAAAGTAGCCCCCTATAAAGTTTATTTAAAATTTAACGGCATACAGTAGTGTAAATTCAATAACCAACCCAACTTAAAAAACCATTATCTAACTCAAAAGGGATAATCTAATAATTGATTCATAAAATGTATGCAATATCTGGCACCTTAAAAAGGTGTTTTGCCTGCACAAAAAAACTTTTTCAACTAAAGCAGAGATATGGGGATAGAGATTTTCATATTAAACCAGGGAAGGAGTTGAACTATGCAGCAGTTTAAAATGTCATCACATGGGAGAGCCTACTAGTGGGAAATAGGTGGCCCATAAAGTGGCCATAATTTAGCAAAGGGAAATTTTTTGAGTATGAGGAATGCACAGTTGAAAGCATGGTCAGTGTGGTGGGCCTATATGGGGGTTAAAACAGGCATATAGATGAACCGAGGTTTTAACTAGGGTTTTAGGCTCTCATACCCTGGTATGAGCTTAAAAATTTTTTGTCCTCTTGCTTTTGTTTAAATAGAAAGGCCTGCTGCACAGGTGAAATGTCTTTTATAAAATCTCCTGGGTTTTACATTACAGTTTTAAAAAAACAGGTTAATTTTTTTTCCTTTTGTTTAATTTTACTGCTTTTTTGGGCAAAGTACTTAGTGGTTGTTTTTCACTCATGATGAGGGATGAGACACTGAAAAATTAAACAAAATGGATAAATTGATAAATGTACTAAGTATGCTCTTTGAAAGCTCTGTATTTTAAAAAGCATTTTTGAAATTCACATCATTTATTAGTTAAAAAATAGTATACAAAAACATTATCTTTCTCAGATGTTGATGAGTGTCAGCAAGGTGCATGTCGTGGTGGTCAATGCTACAATACCCAGGGCAGCTTTACTTGTCGCTGTCCCACAGGGTTTGACATCTCATCAGATGGTCTTTCTTGTATTGGTATCTGACATTTTATTAAGTTTACACAAGATACTTATTAGTTATAATTTAATCTACTTATATTCAGCATCTTTTACAGTATCATCCAATACAATATTCTAGTGTTCTGCTAATATTCAAAATATGTTTGTTATAAAAATGTTTGGAGACGGCTTTATTTTATTTTCTATGTGAAGTAAAGTGTAATGAAGTTTTATTGCTTTATAATGTGTTTTTATGTTTATTTGTATCTTTTAGATCATGATGAATGCAGTGAAACAGGTATGTGTGCTAATGGGATATGCACTAATATGGATGGGTCATTTAAATGTAGCTGTAACGCTGGCTTTATGCTCTCCCCATCGGGTTTTGCTTGCATAGGTATGTGTATTTACTGTTTACCATTACAAATATTGGTTTTAGGCACATAAGTAAAAACTGCTGTGAAATTTATAGCAAGACATGAAAATTTTTGGTATCATTAGCTAACCCTGATGAGCATTACACAGAATTTACATATGGCACTAGCATTCCAACCATATTTAATTTATCTTTCAGATATTGATGAATGCGAGGAGAACAGATTTATTTGTCTGTTCGGACGATGCGAAAACCTTGAGGGAAGGTACCGATGTGTATGTAGTAATGGCTATACACATGCCACTGATGGAAGTTTTTGCACTGACATAGATGAATGTAGTGAGACAGGCATGTGTGAACATGGTTCCTGTGTCAATATAGATGGGTCATTTAAGTGTGTGTGTCAACCTGGATATACATTGGCTCCCAGTGGAAAAACATGCATTGGTATGTTATATTTTTAATTGTGTGCTTGATATAGGTAGTTGACAAAATCTGATTACTACACGTATATGCTTTTCAGAAAGAGAGGTATCGTCATACCTAATGAAATCTAACTACAGGCGTATCTCTCTTTAAGGTGTTAGATTTTAGTGTGTCTCATTAATACAATGCTTTTCAGTTACATATTATGTTTATTATTAAGATGCTGAATTCAGCATCGTGTTTTAGGTCTAGCGTTATTGCACTAATAAAATAAAAAACTATGTTTGGAAACATAAACACATATGCAGTTTAATGTGATTCTTTATTGACAATGTTTCGCCCACTCAGTGGGCTTTTTCAAGTCACAAACAGATCTACCTGGGGTGGAAGGTACGGGAGTATTTATAGTCTGGTTCAGAATGTTGAGGTCAGGTGGAGAATGCTGCATCTGGTGATCTACCGGGCGGAGTTATAGAGTCTTGGGTAGCTTGGCAGGGGTATTGGACAAGTTGTGAGTAGACCTTCTGCAGTGTTCTTTGTTCTTATGTGGGATTGCGATGAAGAAGTTTCTTGGCAAGTGGTTCAGCTATGTTATAGAAGCCATTGTTCTGGTTGAAATTGTTGGTTATAGAGATAAGCGATAATTCCAGGATTCCTGGAATCATCGCTTATCTCTATAACCAACAATTTCAACCAGAACAATGGCTTCTATAACATAGCTGAACCACTTGCCAAGAAACTTCTTCATCGCAATCCCACATAAGAACATAGAACACTGAAGAAGGTCTACTCACAACTTGTCCAATACCCCTGCCAAGCTACCCAAGACTCTATAACTCCGCCCGGTAGATCACCAGATGCAGCATTCCCCACCTGACCTCAACATTCTGAACCCGACTATAAATACTCCCGTACCTTCCACCCCAGGTAGATCTGTTTGTGACTTGAAAAAGCCCATTGTGTGGGCGAAACGTTGTCAATAAAGGATCACATTAAACTGCATATGTGTTTATGTTTTCATTGTGTCGGTATTTTATACCATTTATTTTCAAAAAACTATGTTTCAATAATTAACATTTTATCTTATTCTAATGTTTTAATTTGTGATCAATTCCCAAAGATTTAGATGAGTGTGCATCAGGACCTTGCAAGAATGGCCGTTGCATCAATACTGATGGCAGTTTCCAGTGTGAATGCCCTCCAGGTTTCACATTAGGTGTGAATGGTGTGACTTGCCTGGGTAAGCTATATACATATCTATTTATACATACATGCATGTGTGTGTGTGCATATATATATATTTATATATATATTTTTTTTTTCAACAAGTCGGCTGTCTCCCACCGAGGCAGGGTGACCCAAAAAGAAAAAAAATCCCCAAAAAGAAAATACTTATATCATCATCATTCAACACTTTTACCTCACTCACACATAATCACTGCTTTTGCAGAGGTGCCCAGAATACAGCAGTTTAGAAGCATATACGTATAAAGATACACAACATATCTCTCCAAACTGCCAATATCCTGAACCCCTCCTTTAGAGTGCAAGCACTGTACTTCCCATTTCCAGGATTCATGTCCGGCTGTATAAAAATAACCGGTTTCCCTGAATCCCTTTACTAAATATTAACCTGCTCGCATTCCAACAGATCATCAGGTCCCAAATACCATTCGTCTCCATTCACTCCTCTCAAACACGCTCATGCACGCCTGCTGGAAGTCCAAACCCCTTGCCCACAAAACCTCCCTTACCCCTTCCTTCCAACCTTTTCGAGGACAACCCCTACCCCGCCTTCCTTCCCCTACAGATTTAAACGCTCTCCATGTCATTCTACTTTGATCCATTCTCTCTAAATGACCAAACCACCTCAACAACCCCTCTTCAGCTCTCTGACTAATACTTTTATTAACTCCACACCTTCTCCTAATTTCCATACTCCGAATTTTCTGCATAATATTTACACCACACATTGCCCTTAAACAGGACATCTCCACTGCCTCCAACTGCCTCCTCGCTGCTGCATTCACAACCCAAGCTTCACACACACACACACACACACACACACACACACACACACATACACACACACACACACACACACACACACACACACACACACACACACACACACACACACACACACACACACACACACACACACACTCACTCACACACACATATCCAGACTCACACATACACTACCCCCCTCACCACCGACATCTCACTACCCCTGATCCCTCCCCTCCCTTGTTCACCCTCCCCTCCCCAGTTCACCCTCCCCACTCTTCTCCCACATAGCCACAATTCCTCCACTACCTCCCCCCCTACACTCTGACATACACACTACTAACCTAACATACAGAACTACATAGGTTTCCCACTCTGAGGCAATCAGGATAAAGCAAAAATGGGTTGCCAGAGAGCAACAAGAAAAACCAAGGGACAGGAGGAGGAAGCTGCAAAGGAAGATTGGGCAGCAGAGCTCATAAAAAGGGATCATGAATGGGAAAAGAAACTAGAAGAACTTAGCATGAGAATGGAAGAGAGGATAGATATGGAAAGCAGGAAGTGGGAGGTGCATGTCAAAGCAGCAGAGGCTAGGATACAGAGTTTAAAAGAGGAACTGAAAAATCTGAAACAGCCTAAAGAACTAAAGAACATTCTGGGATTGACAACAGAGACTGCTACCTCAGCCACAAATAAGGGGACTGTAGGGAAAGAAGGGGCACAAGTGCATGGAGAAGCTCTATCAGAGGAGACTGTAGTAAATGAAAGAGCTAAGCTTTATGTGGAGGCCCTAACAGATAACAACAGAGCCCAAGGAAAGCCGAGAAGGGAAAATGACAGGCCACTGAGCCCAAGTACATTAGCCAGTGAAACTGAAGAAAGGAAAGCTGCAGTGGAGGAAACCAAATTAAATGAGGGGATACACAGGGATATGCAGTGGGAGAATGAAAGGGTGAGGTCAGTCTTTGTGTATGGGCTCCAGGAAGTTGAAGGGGAAACATATGAAGCAAGAAAACAATAGGAGAAGACGACATGACCCAGCTGGAAAATTTTCGGAGAATAGGGGGGTTTGTAAAAAAAAGAACCCGGCCAGTGAAAGTGACCTTCAAGGCAGAAGCGACTCGGACCAGGATCCTGCAGGAGAAAGCACGATTAAGGGACATGCTGGCATACAGGAAGGTGTATCTCGACCGCGACAGAACACAAAAAGAAAGGCAGAAACTGAGAGAGATGGTACAAAGGCGAAAGGAGGAAAGAGAGGGGATGGAGAAGACAGACAGGAGATTCCAGACCCAGCCTCCCTCACAACTTCCTATAGAAGCCTCCCAACCAGGTCAACCCCAGTGCAACCAAACACTCTAAATCAAAACACCCATGCCACATCCAATGCCCCCACCCACTACATTAACAGACTCCACCCCCACAGCAACAACCCATAGTTCCTTACCAGGTCTCCCACTTCCCCAACCCCAATATACCTCCCAGACCACAGTCTTAGAAAAGAAGTTGAAGGTGTGGTATACAAATGCAGATGGAATAACAAACAAGTACGAGGAGTGGCACGAAAGAATCAAGGAGACATCCCCAGACATAATAGCACTCACAGAAACAAACTCACCAGAATAATAACAGATTCAATCTTTCCATCCGGATATCAAATCCTCAGGAAAGACAGAGGGAGGAAGGGGAGGAGGAGTTGCACTGCTCATTAAAAACCAGTGGGGTTTCGAGAAAATGGAAGAATGGATGGCACGGGCGAAAGGGACTACTTAGTAGAACAATCTGGTCTGAGGGACATAAGGTGATAATTGCAGTAAGTACAACCCACCACTGAACTGCAGGAGGCCAAGAGAAGAATACGATGAGAGCAACAGAGCAATGATCGACACACTAGCCAAGGTGGCCAGGAGAGCACACATGGGGGGAGCAAAGTTACTAGTTATGGGTGATTTCAATCACAAGGAGATTGACTGGGAAAACCTGGAGCCCCATGGGGGTCCCGAAACATGGAGAGCCAAGATGATGGATGGTGGTACTGGAAAACCTCATGCATCAACATGTTTAGAGACACTACCAGAGAGAGAGAGGAGAGGATGAACCAGCAAGGCTGGACCTTGTATTCACCTTGAGTAGTTCGGACATCGAGGGTATCATGTATGAAAGGCCCCTGGGAGCTAGTGATCATGTGGTTCTGTGCTTTGACTACATAGTTGAGCTCCAAGTGGAGAGAGTAGCAGGAATAGGCTGGGAAAAACCAAACTACAAAAGGGGGAACTACTCAGGCATGAGGAACTTCCTTCAAGACATTCAGTGGGAGAGGGAACTGACAGGAAAACCAGTACAAGAAATGATGGACTCTGTGGCAACAAAATGCAAGGAGGCAGAGGAGAGGTTTGTTCCCAAGGGAAACAGAAATAATGGGAAGTACAGAAAGAGTCCTTGGTTCACCCAAAGGTGTAGGGAGGCAAAAACTAGGTGTACTAGAGAATGGAAAAGGTACAGAAGACAGAGAACTCAGGAAAATAAAGAAATCAGCCGAAGAGCCAGAAACGAATATGCACAGATAAGAAGGGAGGCTCAGAGCAATATAAAAATGACATAGCATCAAAAGCAAAGACTAGACCCGAAGCGTTGTACAGCCACATCAGGAGGAAAACAACAGTCAAGGACCAGGTAATCAGACTGAGAAGGTGATGGGGAATTCACAAGAAACGACCAGGAGGTATGTCAGGAGCTCAACAACAAGATTTAAAGAGTATTTACAGTGGAAACCAGTAGGACTTCAGGAAATCAGAACAGGGGGCACACCAGCAAGTGCTGGATGAGGTATATATAACCAAGGAGGAGGTGAAGAAGCTGCTATGGCGAACTTGACACCTCAAAGGTGTGTGGACCAGACAACATCTCTCCATGGTCCTTAAAGAGGGAGCAGAGATACTGTGTGAGCCATTAACAAAGATCTTCAACACATCATTTGAAACTGGGCAACTCCCTGAGGTATGGAAAATGGCAAATGTAGTCCCAATTTTTAAAAAGGGAGACACACATGAGGCACTAAACTACAGACCTGTATCACTAACGTGTATAGTATGCAAGGTCATGGAGAAGATCATCAGGAGGAGAGTGGTGGGGCACCTGGAAAGAAACAAGTGTATAATTGACAACCAGCACAGTTTCAGGGAAGGAAAATCCTGTGTCACAAACCTACTAGAGTTTTATGACAAGGTGACAGAAGTAAGACAAGAAAGAGAGGGGTGGATCGACTGCATATTTTTGGACTGCAAGAAGGCCTTTGACACAGTTCCTCACAAGAGGTTACTGCAAAAGCTAGAGGATCAGGCACACATAACAGGAAAGGCACTGCAATGGATCAGAGAATATCTGACAGGGAGGCAACAACGAGTCATGGTACGCGATGAGGTGTCAGAGTGGGCGCCTGTGACAAGCGGGGTTCCACAGGGGTCAGTCCTAGGACCTGTGCTGTTCTTGGTATATGTGAACGACATAACGGAAGGGATAGACTCAGAAGTGTCCTTGTTTGCAGATGATGCGAAGTTATTGAGAAGAATCAAATCGGATGAGGATCAGGCAGGACTACAAAGAGACCTGGACAGGCTACAAGCCTGGTCCAGCAACTGGCTCCTTGAATTTAACCCTGCCAAATGCAAAGTCATGAAGATTGGGGAAGGGCAAAGAAGACCGCAGACACAATATAGTTTAGATGGCCAAAGACTGCAAACCTCACTCAAGGAAAAAGATCTGGGGGTGAGTATAACACCGAGCATATCTCCTGAGGCGCACATCAATCAGATAACTGCTGCAGCATACGGGCGCCTGGCAAACCTACAGATAGCGTTCCGATACCTCAGTAAGGATTCGTTTAAGACTCTGTATACCATTTACGTCAGGCCCATACTGGAGTATGCAGCACCAGTTTGGAATCCACACCTAGTCAAGCACGTCAAGAAATTAGAGAAAGTGCAAAGGTTTGCAACAAGACTAGTCCCAGAGCTACGGGGATTGTCCTATGAAGAAAGGTTGAGGGAAATCGGCCTGACGACACTGGAGGACAGGAGGGTCAGGGGAGACATGATAACGACATATAAAATACTGCGTGGAATAGACAAGGTGGACAAAGACGGGATGTTCCAGAGAAGGGACACAGACACAAGAGGTCACAATTGGAAGTTGAAGACTCAGATGAATCAAAGGGATGTTAGGAAGTATTTCTTCAGTCATAGAGTAGTCAGGCCGTGGAATAGCCTAGAAAGTGACGTAGTGGAGGCGGGAACCATACATAGTTTTAAGGCGAGATATGATAGAGCTCATGGGGCAGGGAGAGAGAGGACCTAGTAGCAATCAGCGAAGAGGTGGGGCCAGGAGCTGTGACTCGACCCCTGCAACCACAAATAGGTGAGTACACATATAAGAGTGTTGGTACCACTATACTTTCATACATTCCCTTCTTTGCCTCCATAGATAACGTTTTTTGACTCCACATATACCTCAATGCACCACTCACCTTTTTTCCCTCATCAATTCTATGATTAACCTCATCCTTCATAAATCCATCTGCCGACACGTCAACTCCCAAGTATCTGAAAACATTCACTTCTTCCATACTCCTCCTCCTCAATTTGATATCCAATTTTTCTTTATCTAAATCATTTGATACCCTCATCACCTTATTCTTTTCTATGTTCACTTTCAACTTTCTACCTTTACACACATTCCCAAACTCATCTACTAACCTTTGCAATTTTTCTTTAGAATCTCCCATAAGCACAGTATCATCAGCAAAAAGTAACTGTGTCAATTCCCATTTTGAATTTGATTCCCCATAATTTAATCCCACCCCTCTCCCGAACACCCTAGCATTTACTTCTTTTACTACCCCATCTATAAATATATTAAACAACCATGGTGACATTACACATCCCTGTCTAAGACCTACTTTTACTGGGAAGTAGTCTCCCTCTCTTCTACACACCCTAACCTGAGCCTCACTATCCTAATAAAAACTCTCTACAGCATTTAGAATTTTACAGAAACTGTGTAATAACAAAATGCAGTTAGCATGACATTTATACATATTTGAGGAATTTAATTTGTTTTTTCAGATTCGTGTAACCTTGAGTGTTGTTCACTTTGTTATAGTACTGTACTTTGAATTTAACCTTAAAAATTTCTTGCAATATTACAGACACAAAATTGGACTTCTGCTATGCGATGTATCGGGATGGCCAGTGTTCTAACCCATCGACTACCCCGACCACCAAGTCAGCCTGTTGCTGCTGCATTGTTATTCTTGGTCAACCTATGGGTTGGGGAACTCCATGTCAAGCTTGCCCACAGACAGGCACTCAGGAATTCCTAGCACTCTGCCCACATGGAACTGGCATTACTCACGAAGGACATGGTTAGATTTTTTTCTATTTCTATTATTTTTTTTTAACATGGTGGTCTCCTCCCACCAGGACTCAAGTCTGGCTAACTGGTTTCCCTGAATACTTTCACAAAATATTACTATTATTATTCTTCTTTTTTTTCAACACGCTGGTCATCTCCCATCGAGGCAGGGAGACCCAAAAAAAGAAAGAAACACTTTCACTATTATTATTATTATTATTATTATTATTATTATTATTATTATTATTATTATTATTATTATTATTATTATTATTATTATTATTAACATACTAGCTGCCTCCCACTGAGGCAGGGTGACCTAGAAAAGAATCACTTTCACCATCATTCTCACTGTCTCTGTCTTGCCAGAGATGCACAGATGTGACAAATTCAATGTCCCTCTAAACAGCAAATATCCTAAACCCCTCCTGTAGAGTGCAGGCACTAAACCCTTGAGGGTCATCCAGTGCCTGGGGAATGGAAGGTAATCAGATTTGATCAGTGGAAGGGGAGGAATAGCTCCAGTTTCTTGAATCAAGAGTATATTGCCAGCATATGGGACACCCCTATTGAAAGGATGGTTAGATTTTTAAATCATTACCAATTAGAATTTGAACTGATAGGTATAATGGAGGCAAAGAGAGGAATGTGCAAAAGTATAGTTGCACAACACTCTTATATGGGTGTGAAGCTTCGGTTGCAAATGCTTCGGCAAGGAGGCGGCTGGAGACAGTGGAGATGTCATGTCTAACTAAGGGCAATATGTGGTGTAAATATTATGCCGAGAATTCGGAGTGTGGAAATTAGAAGGAGGTATGCAGTTACTAAAAGTATTAGTCAGAGAGCTGAGGAGGGGTTGTTGAGGTGGTTTGGTCATTTAGAAAGAATGAAACAAAGTAGAATGACTTGGAGAGCATATAAATCTGTAGGGGAAGCTAGGTGAGGTAGGGGTCGTCCTTGAAGAGGTTGGAGGGAGCGGGTAAAGGAGGTTTTGTGGGTGAGGGGCTTGGACTTCCAGCAAGCATGCGTGAGCATGTTAGATCGGAGTGAATGGAGACAAATGGTTTTTTAGACCTGACGATCTGTTGGAGTTTGAGCAAGGTAATATTTATGAAGGGATTGTTGGAAACCAGTTAGCCAGACTTGAGTCCTAGAGATGGGAAGTACAATGCCTGCACTTTAAAGGAGGGGTTTGGGATATTGGCAGTTTGGAGGGATTTTTAAACTGTCATGTCTGAGTGCCTCTGCAAAGACAGTGATTATGTATGAATGATGGTGAAAGTGTTGAATGTTTAAAGTATTTTTCGTTCTTTTTGGGTCACCCTGCCTCAGTGGAGAATGACCGATGTGTTAAAAAAAAAAGTATAATGTGGCAATTACATAATTTTAAGACCACTAAAGATTAAGTTACCAATTTTAAAGACCTCATTAAGGATCAAGTACTACCTATTTTAAAGACTTTATTAATTTTTTTTTTTATATTTTATTTAAAACTTCATGTACAAATATATATAGGTACATTGACACTGGTGATGAGCAATAAACATTCACTTCACAATCTACTGAATAAGCACATACATTAAAGACATTAAAATAAAATGAACACAACCTACAGACTGCTTCTATGTACATTGTTTCACAAGTACACAAGGTATTAATTAAGGCAGCGCACTCAGCTCACACACTGAGGTCCGTGGTTCAATCCCCTGTATAGGTGGAAAAATTAGGGCATGTTACCTTAAGACATCTGCTGACCATATTCACCTAGCTGTAAATAGGTACCTGGGTTTTAGCTGACTGGTGTGAGTTGCATCCTGGGGACAAAATTAACCTAATTTGCCTGAAGTGCTCTCTGTAAAAAGGAGCTTTCTATATGGTATGTCATTGATGCCATCTAGGTCTGTGTGTTGTACATGGACTTATAAAAATAAAGATGATGATTATTATTATTATTATTATTATTATTATTATTATTATTATTATAAGGATCTAATATTTTGTGAAGGGATTCAGGGAAACTGGTTAGCTGGACTTGAGTCCTGGAAATGGGAAATACAATGCCTGCACTTATATTTAGGAGGGGTTTAGGATATTGGCAATTTGGAGGGACATCTAAACTGTATAGCAAATAATATTGTTGCAGTAATAACACCAGGAGGCAGCTCTGATGAAAACTCACACTCACACAAGCTTTTAAATCTCTGCACAAAATTCAATTTAAACCAGCAAATAATAGAGCCTACTAGACTGGAGAATACACTAGACCTCATCTTCACTAACAATGATGATCTGATAAGAAATGTCACCATATCAAAAACAATATACTCAGATCACAACATAATTGAGGTTCAGACATGTATGCACGGAGCCCCAGACCGACATAATGAGATTAGTCACGAGGGTGCATTCACCAAATTCAACTTCAATAACAAAAACATAAAGTGGGACCAAGTAAACCAAGTCCTAACCAATATAAGCTGGGAAGATATACTAAGCAACACAGACCCCAACTTATGCAAAGAACAGATTAACTTGGTGGCACACGATGTATGCACAAGGCTTATTCCTCTAAGAAAAAGGAGGAGTAGATGTAAAATGGAAAGAGACAGGCGCTCCCTTTACAGACAACGGAAAAGAATAACAGAGCGGCTAAAAGAGGTCAATATATTTGAAATGCGTAGGGAGACACTGGTCAGAGAAATAGGAAGCATCGAACTTAAGCTAAAGGAATCTTATAGGAGTCAGGAATCGCGTGAAGAACTAAAAGCCATAAATGAAATCGAAAGAAACCCAAAGTATTTCTTCTCCTATGCCAAATCAAAGTTGAGAACAACGTCCAGTATTGGGCCCCTACTTAAACAAGATGGGTCCTACACAGATGACAGCAAGGAAATGAGTGAGCTACTCAAGTCCCAATATGACTCGGTTTTTAGCAAGCCGCTAACCAGACTGAGAGTCAAAGATCAAAATGAATTTTTTATAGGAGAGCCACAGAATTTGGTTAACACAAGCCTATCCGATGTTATCCTGACGCCAAATGACTTCGAACAGGCGATAAATGACATGCCCATGCACTCTGCCCCAGGGCCAGACTCATGGAACTCCATGTTCATCAAGAACTGCAAGAAGCCCCTATCACGAGCCTTAACCATCCTATGGAGAGGGAGCATGGACACGGGGGTCGTCCCACAGTTACTAAAAACAACAGACATAGCCCCACTCCACAAAGGGGGCAGTAAAGCAACAGCAAAGAACTACAGACCAATAGCACTAACATCCCATATCATCAGAATCTTTGAAAGGGTCCTAAGAAGCAAGATCACCACCCATCTAGAAACCCATCAGTTACACAACCCAGGGCAACATGGGTTTAGAACAGGTCGCTCCTGTCTGTTTCAACTATTGGATCACTACGACAAGGTCCTAGATGCACTAGAAGACAAAAAGAATGCAGATGTAATATATAAAGACTTTGCGAAAGCCTTCGACAAGTGTGACCATGGCATAATAGCGCACAAAATGCGTGCTAAAGGAATAACAGGAAAAGTCGGTCAATGGATCTATAATTTCCTCACTAACAGAACACAGAGAGTAGTAGTCAACAGAGTAAAGTCCGAGGCAGCTACTGTGAAAAGCTCTGTTCCACAAGGCACAGTACTCACTCCCATCTTGTTCCTCATCCTCATATCTGACATAGACAAGGATGTCAGTCACAGCACCGTGTCTTCCTTTGCAGACGACACCCGAATCTGCATGACAGTGTCTTCCATTGCTGACACTGCAAGGCTCCAGGCGGACATCAACCAAATCTTTCAGTGGGCTGCAGAAAACAATATGAAGTTCAACGATGAGAAATTTCAATTACTCAGATATGGTAAACATGAGGAAATTAAATCTTCTTCAGAGTACAAAACAAATTTTGGCCACAAAATAGAGTGAAACACCAACGTCAAAGACCTGGGAGTGATCATGTCGGAGGATCTCACCTTCAAGGACCATAACATTGTATCAATCACATCTGCTAGAAAAATGACAGGATGGATAATAAGAACCTTCAAAACTAGGGAGGCCAAGCCCATGATGACACTCTTCAGGTCACTTGTTCTATCTAGGCTGGAATATTGCTGCACACTAACAGCACCTTTCAAGGCAGGTGAAATTGCTGACCTAGAAAATGTACAGAGAACCTTCACAGCGCGCATAACGGAGATAAAACACCTCAATTACTGGGAGCGCTTGAGGTTCCTAAACCTGTATTCCCTGGAACACAGGCGGGAGAGATACATGATGGAAAATCCTAGAGGGACTAGTACCGAACTTGCAAACGAAAATCACTCCCTACAAAAGCAAAAGACTTGGCAGACGATGCAACATCCCCCCATTGAAAAGCAGGGGTGTCACTAGCATGTTAAGAGACCATACAATAAGTGTCAGGGGCCCGAGACTGTTCAACTGCCTCCCAGCATACATAAGGGGGATTACCAACAGACCCCTGGCAGTCTTCAAGCTGGCAGTGGACAAGCACCTAAAGTCGGTTCCTGACCAGCCGGGCTGTGGCTCATACGTTGGTTTGCGTGCAGCCAGCAGTAACAGCCTGGTTGATCAGGCTCTGATCCACCAGGAGACCTGGTCACAGACCGGGCTGCGGGGGCGTTGACCCCTGGAACTCTCTCCAGGTTGAAGTTGTGAATTACCAAAATGCTTCAGGTCCAGGTTGTCATATCTGAGCACCTCTGCAAAGACATTGATTATGTACGAGTGATGGTGGAAGTGTTGAATGATGACGAAAGTATTTTCTTTCTTTTTTGGGTTTTTCTTTCTTTTGGGTCACCCTGGCTTGGTGGGAAACAGCTGATATGTTAAAAAAAAAAAGGATCTAGTGTTACCTATTTTGGAGACCTCATTAAAGATCAAGTACTAATTTAAATACAGTGGAACCTTGACTTACGAGTTTAATCCGTTCCAGGAGCTAGCTCGTAACTCAATTTACTTGTATATCAAATTAATTTT